TAAATTAAAACACTACATCTAACTACAAACAAACACAAAACTATATCTGCATATGTATCGAGCATATTTATATTTCCGTAACGTAATCATACAAAAACTCCAGCGCTACCAAAATAACTCTATTTCAAATAATAATTCATCGTTAATTCCCGTTAATCAGTTTTAAAATACAAGAATGGGGGCCGCACAAAAAACACTCCTCCGTATTAATGTAAAAATAAATGAGCTGTGAAAAATATTGAAAAATAAATTTTGATAATGTGCAATTTAAAATCTGGTTACATATTAATGTTTTTTCCAAAACATTCAGTCAAAGTCTATACAAATTAGAATAACACGCAATAAAATGCAAGCAGTCGCCGAAATAGGTATCAAGTTTTCCTAGAATTTAAAACTCAGTTTAAATTTGACAAGTTGGTTATGGAATATATTAAAAAGCAATGAATATGTGTCAATATAAGCAGATCTTTCGAATTTTATTTAAACCAAGTGGTTTTAAACATTTTTGGTAGAGCAAAACCTAATGAAGCATTCCAGAGGTTCTAGGTACCCCTGAGCATTAAATGTAAGGTTGAAATCAGAATTGTATAGAGATTATGCATATTTAAACAAACAAAATAAGTTCAATAATAAGTATTTTATTGTATATATAATATTATAGACTTTTGGATTTGAATGTAATCTTGCTGCGGAACCTCGCAGAAAAGAGCTGATTCAGCCGATCACGTACATCATGACTATGGCAAAATATGAGCTATTTTTTCAAAAGTTTCCACCCAACTTGGACTGCAAATACGAAGTTTATTTGCAACCTGTGCGGACATGAATGAAATAAAAGCGAGACGTATGGATTTCAAACGAAAGCCTATGCTTCATATTGTAATATGTCGCCAACCAAATGAAAGCAAATTCAAAATGAATTTCACGATTTAATCTAGATTCTAGACTAGATGAAGAATAAGAAGATTAGAATTTTTTAGGAAAATTCGCTTCTGGATTCGACTTTATTACAAGATTAGCAGATCCTTAGAATTTTATTTTAAACCAAGTGGTTTTAAACATTTGAGATTTTGGTCCAAAAGTAGTGGCGAGGGTGGCCCAAAAGTAGGTATACAGGTATTTTATTTATTTTTTATTACCTTCCAAGCAGCTAGATAACTAATGTAAAATTCACACTAGATTTATTATCTAAAAAAATAAGCAATTTTTGTGATACTTAACAAGTAACATAAAGTGAACTGCAAGTAGCTTCAAAGCATATTAAATAGTTTAATAACTGTATACCTACCTTTGGGCCACCACCTACTTTTGGGCCACCCTACAGTTATTACATATACAAATGCTTTCAATTTGGGTCGATTGAAAGAATCAATCTTAGATATCTAGTATCGTGCGTCAGGAATCGGATATGAATCTGGTTTTAAGTTATGAAGCATGTAAAAAGCAACAATCTTTACTTTGGGAGAAATGGAGGTTTAGATGACGAACTTGACTAACTCGATGACTGGTAGTTTTTGTGACGGACTTAATGATCCAATCCGATAGCTATTATATGATGAAGCTTTTATTGAATATTTCTTGTTTTCCACGTATCCGATGTATTCCACGTATTCGATCCGATTCACGTATTGATTGAGAGCTTAAAACAATATAATTAATTTGTGAAGTCGAAATATCAATAAATATTTATTTTATAATAGAATAACGTATAAATAAAACAAACAAGTTATAAAAAGTTTATTTTTGTCGTAATGTACAAATATACGATATCACTTGACAAAGAATATTATCATCACGTTTGTTAGGATTTGTAGCTAATAGCCTTTCTTCGAATTATATGAGTTTTCTACTGTAAACTAACCAAAAAACTAAAATGTTTCAATAAAATAATTCCAAACTGGAAATATTTGAAGCTCGTATTTTTGATAAAAAGAAAAGTACAAGTAAATTATTTCAACAACAGTCTTTGAAAATTGTCAGTCAACGATCAAATTGAATCATTATCAAACTTCGCCAATGGGCTATTTTACGTAGACACGCCACTGACACCTACTCGAAAATTTGATTCTTCCAACCTTGTTACCAATCAATTAAATATTGATTCTGAACAAAAAGTTAAGCTCTGATTTAGAACCGGAATATTTGACTGAATGTTTTTGCAAACCGCAATACAGACCACAAACTGTTGTTCTTTGCAATAACATCTTTATATTGAACCATCAATTTTACATCATTGTATATGACCTCTCCTTCATATACCTTCATTCTCCTCATATACCTATAACTATATTTCTGTTTCTGTACGGAACATGATATTGAATCCTGTTTACCTAGAACATTTTGATTTGAGCGAAACACGCGAAAAATTCTGCAAAATTGTTTTTTGCCCCCGGCGTTGAAATGGAAACGAAACTGATAAACAAAATAGCGAGGGAATAAAAATTCTCGTTTACTCTAAATATACGTTCAATATCAGTGTCTTTGTAAATCCTCGTGGCTACGAATACGCATACAAATATATTGCATACCCTCTTTGCGTGATAAAAAGATATTTTAAATTAGTATTAAACCTAAGTGAAATGTTTTATATCAGCTCCCATTAATGCCTAAAAGGCTGACACGGAGGCCTAGTTCAGCATTGGCTACCGAATTGATTACCCCGTAGTAAGCAAAAGATATAAAATCAAAACGCCTAAGATTACGTACTATTGTTTGTTGTTTTTTGCAATTTATTTCTGAAAAATGATTTTAACGTTTTTTTTTAATTGAGAATTCATGAGTAATGGACCTCACATACACGGATGGCACAAATGTTCGATTTATGTTTTGCGTGATCAACGCCATTTTGTCGTCCGCCATTTTATTTAGTAAAGTTCGATACCTTTGTACCTTTGTATCTTAACCAAAGTGAAGCAGTACTTCTGCATCAGTACATTTCTGAATAGTTAATATTAAAGAATAGTTAATAAGTAATACTTCGAAAATGTTTGTTAGAATTGGTATAAATGACGTAGGGACAATCAATAGTATTCAGACCAGAGTTTTGAGAAAGCTATAAGGGTGATTTATAATCGTGTATACAGTTCAAAGTTCGTGGGTCATTAGGTCGATTTTTCGCTTGCTCCTTCCATGTATGTTTGACCCCCAAGTATGCATGGCTTAGATTGTAATCGGTTTTAATTTAAGGCTGATAAGCTAAAATTACTGAAAAATTACGTTATATTTACTAACTTTTTAACATTGTTTTTAGCGAAGTAGTAAAGAACAATGAACAAATATATATATATTGAATATGTTCATATATTATATAGTCAATATAGTCATTTATTGAATTGTAACTGTGGAATCTATGTGTAATTTCTGGTGGTTTCAAAGCTAATAACTGGTTTTGTATATATGTTACCAAGCCGTTTTTCGCTTGTATTCTCATAGAAGTTTTATAAACATACTTCATAGAAATTAAAGGGTGCTCCCGAAGTATGCGAACCAAGATGGCGGACATCGGAACTTAACATGGGTAACAGGTTAGGGTTAGGCGATAATTTTTTTTCCAATTTTCCTTATTTTAGTCCTATTATCAGTTCGAAGACTAGCCAAGAGCCTACCGTAGTATTTATACCTAAAATTATGGCCTAACCCTAACCTAGTACACATATTACATTCTGATGTCCGCCATCTTGGTTCGCATACTTCGGAAGCCCCAATTAAAGTATGATAAATTGTGCGACAAACAACCGGGTTTGAATGGAATCGCCGAGGCATAAAATCACCTGAAAATAGCGTAGTATTTACTGATTTTTAACAGTGTTTCCGGAGAAAGTTTTGAACAACAGTACACAAGAATCCTTCGGTTAAAGTCATATATTGAGTTGTAAGTGTGATATCACTGATATAATCTGTTATCTACCGATTCAAAACTATTTTGCGACAAATAATTTGATTGACATCGCGGTACGATTATTAGTTTTTGTTGAATGTTTATTGTTCAACCAGCAACCGGTTTTTGTTAACCGGTTAACCGATTTCAGATGGTTAACGGTTACGATTTATTTTAACCGTTAAGTGACATCTCAGGTACAAATCATCTTCATACCGTACAATTTCTTCAAATATGATTACGTCATCGCAAGTTTATCTCTTGTGGCATTTAATTCAAAAGAATATTATTAACTGTGTGTAAGGACTCAATAAATTGGAAAAATGATGAAAGTACCAAGATTGCTGATTATGGAAATTTGACAATGATGAATTCAGAATTAGTTTTCGATCGATTTCGAAATATATTGTTCACGATTTCATAGCAAAATCGGATATTCAATGTCATACAACAAGTGCGCAGTTGATACCGTTATTCGTTATATGATATATATCTCGAAGTAAAATTTGCATATTGAACACTGATAATTTGTCACATAAATGACGTTTAACAACGGAATCAGGTTTTCTAAAATACTTCCACACGCCCGAACCACGCTGCCTATCTATTGCAGCAGAGCAATCATGAAACTATCTCGATTTGTGAATAATTTTAATAAGCGATCCCGAGATAAGAACACGCGAAATTGCTTCATAAGCATTGTGACGTAACAAGCTGAAATTATAAATTATTACGTCAAACGTCACGCGGCGGTTAACCGGTTAATTTTGCCCGGTTAACGGTTAAAGTGTTTTCCCTGAAATTCCCAGCTCTATCAACCAGTGTTATATCGGATAAACTAATCTAAAACATGCGGAATGGCATATTTATTATATTTAGCATAGACCAAGTTTGGGTCGATAAAAATCGAAAAGATTAGGGTAGCTTGAAAAAAAAAGTGGTTTAGCTCTTTAAAGAACATAATATTTATTTACGAATCGATTCCCCTTATACAGGGCATTGTTCACAGCGTAAGTTTTAAAAATATTCCAATAAAGAAAGTCAGAACTACCCAGTGATTTACCATGTAACAAAAGGATATCGGCAATTGATCCAATACTTCGAATGTGTAGACAAAAACTTTCGTCGCCATCTTAAATTTATCTAATATATCCTCAGAATAAGCCTGACCAAGACTTAATTCAAGATAGCTTATTCACGACACGGACATACTAAACTCAATGAAAACCTTTTACGGTTCAAACATGGTAATGTCAAGCAAGATAACGCTATCGATGATGAGTTTAACCTTTAAATAAAAGCCCGATAAAACTACATCTGGCTACAAATAAACACAAAATTTTAGCTGCATAAACCGTTTATATATTTCCGTGATATAATCAGACAAAAAAGGTTTAAGCACTAACAAAATAACTCTATATCAACAGATTTTTCATCGTTATTTTCATTCACTCAGTTTTGAAATACAAGAATGGGGTTGCACAATAAAGTACTCCACAGTAAAAACAAAGTAAAATGAGCTGTAAAAAAGTTGGAAAAGATATTTTGATAAGGCTCAGTTACACATCTGGTTACAATTTAATCTTTTTTCAATCCAATTCAGTCAAATTTAACAAAGCAGAATAACAAGCATTACAATGCAAGCAGTCATCAAAATACGAAGCATGTTTCCTTAAATTTTCAACTCTGTTTAACTTCGACAAGTCGGATCTTAATATCTTAAAAAGCAATGAATATATGTCAATATAAGAAGATCTTTCAAATTTTTATTTAACGCAGTGGTTTTCAACCTTTTTGGTAGAGAGAAACTCAAATGAAGCACTACGGGGGGTCTGGGAACCCCTGAACAATAAATGTAAACTGCAATCAGAATTGTATAGAGACTATAAATATAAAAACAAACCTAATATTGAAGAACATAAAATGATCTTTAAAGTCTAGCAAGTTCAATAATAGGTATTAATTTGTTTAATTAGACAAAAGAAATATCATAATATAGACTTTCGGATTGGAATGTAATCTTGCGGTCTATACTGTCGGAACGATAAAATGCAGTGGAACCTCGGTTGAAAACAGCTGATTTAGCCGATCACGTACATCACGACCAAGGTGAGATTTGAGATATTATATCGAAAGTTTCCCTCCAACTTGAACCAAAAATGCGAATTTTATTTGCAGACTGTGCGGACATAATGAAATAAAAGCGACACGTATCGATTTAAAAGTAATCTTACGTTTTATTTTTTAGTGTATTAGTATGTAGTCAACAAAATGAAGATGATTTTTAAAATTAGTTTTACGAATTTATATTGTCAAAAAATACAAAGAATAAAATTTTTTGGAAAACGTGCTTTTGAATTTGACTTTATTACAAGCCTTTATAAATTTCTATTACAAATTCTTTCCATCTGGATTGATCGTGGAGATCTATCAGAGATATTTGAAGTCGAATCCAGTTTAGTGCGGGTTGAATCGTATACAAATCTGGTTTCAAGTTATTAAGCATGTAATAAGCAACAATCTTGTCTTTGGGATAAGTGGTGTGAAACACGATGTGTTTGGTTGAGTCGAGGACTGATGTTTTTTGCAGCGTAGTTAATGAAGCAATCTGAGCTTCAATGTATAATTTACCACCATTTGGATCTCCCATTTCCACGTATTGGATGGAACTTTGTATAGTATGCGCCACGAACAAAGAGGGTTCTGGAAACAATACAATGAGTTTATGAAGTCGAAATATCAATAGGAATCTAATCTATATTAGTAGTACGCATCATATTTAACAAACCAGTTATAAAAAGTTTTCTCCAGTCAAGCATTAGGGATAAAAATAAGATATCACGTTTATCAAAATAAATTTGTTTAGAGTTCAAAAATATTACAAAAATATCAACTTACCAAAGGCCGACACCGAAACTACCAGAATGGATGATAGCAGGGCACATGCGTAAAGGAATTGCTTCGCCATTTTTGTCCAATTTTCAAGATTATCTTGTTCAACAAGACGATCGAATCTACAACGCAGATTGTAAAGCTACGCCAGATAAGTGAAGATAATGCAAATAAATTCTTTACTTATACTCTGAATTCATTTTTTCTGTCGTCGGAGATATGAATGCCTTCATGCTTGCATAACAGTAAGAAATATGATATACTGATGCAGACGTAAACACTAATTTCTTCTACTGCTTCCTACACAGACAGTCTCGCGATGCTGTCAAAAGCCAGACAGCGTGACGGATAGATTTTCAAATTACTTTGCATTTACTTTGAAAAAAAACAGAAATTATTTTTGTTCTTTCTATTTTGCGACGGGAATTACGCCTTCGTATGCGCAACTAAAAAATTTGAAAATGCAAACACGATGGCCCCTTAGGTGTATACAAATACCCGTAACGACTGTGGAAATAACTGCCGATTGGCACTCTTTACTAGTTATGACATATTATAAAAGGGGTATAAAAAGTCGCTCGGACCGTGAGAAATAAAGGGACAAATACACGCAATACTGGTTATAATTAACTAACGTCAATTTTTAACCACGGTATACCCGAACCACAATTTGGAATCAAGTGATCAATACCCCCATGTTGACAAAATTGTCAAGAAGTATTCATTCGGAGAACATGGAAACCGGTTTGTATATGACCTCGTTTCATGCTTTGTCATGATGAAAATAGCTGACCACCACAAAACACCTCATTATATGAGTAGGTGTTTAAAATGAATGATGTATTTCAAATTATTTCAGTAAAATTGTTTTATATAAAAGATTCTTTTGTAATTTCCGCAGGAAGTAATAAATGTTTAAAATGTTTTTTTCAAGTCATATGCAGTAACAGGATGGTGTCTGTACTCCAATTCGTTGGATGGATTCATTTATCGACGAACTTTGTGACAAAATGAAATTCATGTTTTTGATTTGATTAATCAAAAACTAGTTAGTATTATTCAGCACATTTGTCGGGCCCGCTATGTCAAAGGTAAGCAATCTTAAGCGATTATCATACAAACACTCGACCATATTCCCAACTCGTTTTTTTTCGTCAAAGTCAACAAGATATCAGCATATTGCAGAAATGAGAGCATCCCATGGGGATTTTAAATGTGTTGTAATAGTATTATATTTCCTTGCATATACTAAAATTTGTTGACCGTACATTTGAACCCATGTACATTTGAACCCATGTGTATATCCACGGGTTCAATCTATATTCGGGTGCTAAAACCCATGGGTTAGGGTTAGTATGGGTTTAACTATCCGTGAAACAAAAAAAATTCCATAGGTGCAATAGCATACAGGTGCAATTGTCATGGGTTCAAATGTACGTGGGTTCAAATGTAATGGAACCCTAAAATTTAATACTTTGTATATAAAAGAAAGGAGTCAAATTGAATATTATATTGTTTACGAAAGATTTATTAAATCATTTTTGTTAGATGATAAGATATTTGTTATAAGGATACGGCTAGCAATGAAAACGTTTATCGTTGGAGAAAGGATTGAAGCAATCTGCCAATTATACAATAACCATTAGGCGTTCGACGCTTGTTCAAAGGTAAGCATATACTTCTAAAACGCGACGAATGAAGTTTTAGGGCCCAATGGTGTTGACGAGTGAATAATTTTGTAAATAACTAATAAAACTAGAATTCGGTTGAAAACCAAAGACTTATCAATCGAAGGTTGGGTGATCCCCCAAAACAGTGGTCTTACTCCATAGTGACACCGTGTGTCCCATTACTAATTAATTAATAACTCGCTAATTATACGACATAATCCATCCAAAATCAATAGGCTTCTGATCCGAGCTAAGATGAATGCACATGCATTTGGAGCATATCGAACCTCGCTTTCGTGAGATATCGCGTGCATCTAACACACAGACATACAGCAGACAAATACCTATCAACATACTTACCGATCAAGATTAATAAGTAAAAAGAGATAGAAGAAGATGGATCTAAAAAGGGCATTGGCAGCGACGAATCGCACGATATAGATGTGGATTTTCTAATTCAATCATATTTTTCACTACAATTTACCTCTTACATTGTGAAGGAGAAATCACAGTCCTTGTTAATGAGGAAACAAAATATAAAATGAGAATATCGGTCAGAGACCGAAGACTTATCGATCGAAAGTTAAACAGCGCGCTTACTCCATAGTGACACCTTGTGTCCCATCACTAATTAACTCGCTAATTATACGACATAATTCATCCAAAATCAATAGGCTTCTGGTACGACATATGATGAATGCACATGCAAAATCTGGAGCAGATTCAATCTCGCTTTCGTGAGATATCGCGTACATCTAACAGACAGACAGACAAACAAACAGATAAATAAACAGACAGACAAATACCTATCAACATCTTTACCGATTAAAATCGATAAGTAATAAAATAGTGCGTACGATAAATAAATCACGTTTAGTGATAACTAGTGAACTAGCTTTTAATCGGAAATTCGAATATAACCGAAGTTTGATTTAATCTTTGCAATTAGACTCATGTTCAAAGCTGTATTTTTTATGGGCACTGACGTGTATTAAGAGTGCAAATCGGCAGTTATTTGCACAGTCGTTACGGGCGTTTGTATACACCTAAAAGACCATCCTTCTTGCATTTTCAAATTTTTCAGTTGTGCATACGAAGGCGTAATTCTTATCGCGAAATGAAAAAAACACAAATAATTGTGTTTTTTTTTTCTAAGTAAGTGCAAAGTAATTTGAAAATCTATCCATCACGCTGTCTGGCTTTTGACAGCATCGAGAGACTGTCTGTGATGTAGGAAGCAGTAGAAGATCTTAGTGTTTACGTCTGCATCAAGAGATCACATTTCTTACTGTTATGCAAGCATGAAGGCATTCATATCTCAGACGACAGAAAAAATGAATTTAATGTATAAATAAAGACTTCATTTGATTTACTTGATTTATGGCTCATCGGTCTAGTTTGAAGATCAAATATCTCAGATTGTTTCCCTCATTCAACCCGTATGGCAAGCATTTGTGAAGAAACTTACTACAGGCTCGTAAAAAAGTCGAATCCCAAGCATGTTTTACTAAAAATTTTATACTTTGTATTCTTTGACAATATAACTTCCTGGAACCTATTTCAAATTTGCCTTTATTTTGTTAGCGACATCTAAAATACTAAAATATGAGGCATGCGATCGCGTTTGAAATCGATATTTTTCGCTTTTATTTCATTTATGTCCTCAAGGTTGCAAATGAAAATCGTATTTGCAGTTCACGTTGTAGAAAAACTTTCGATAAAATATCTCAAATCTCGCCTTGGTCATGATGTACATGATCGGCTAAATCAGCTGTTTACAACCGAGGTTGGGCAGCACTTTAACTTTCCGACAGTATAGTCCAAGGATTCGCAAGATTACATTCAAATCCGAAAGTCTATATTATTATATGTATACTGTTTAAATACAATCATACACCTAATATTGCACTTGCTACACCTTATAGATCATTCAGTGTTTGTCAGTAAGTTTGTTTTTATATTTATAGTCTCTAGTAGTCTATACAATTCTGATTACGGACTTACATTTATTGTACAGGAGTTCCTAGACTCTCTGGAATGCTACATTTGGGGTTCTCTCTACCAAAAAGGTTGAAAAACACTGGGTTAAATAGAAATTCGATCTGCTCAAAGTGACATATTTTTATTGCTTTATAATTAAAATAATTCAGATCCGATTTTTCGAATTTAAATCGAGTTTTAAATTTTAGGAAAACATTGTACTGCATTGTATTGCTCGTTATTCTGCTTAGTAAACATTGACTGAATTTGAATAAAATAAGATTAATTTGTAACCAGATGTGTAATTGCGCATTATCAAAATTTCTTCTCCAACTTTTTTTTTCCGCTACTTTTATTTTATGGTGAAATTAATTTATTGTGCTCCCCATTCTTGTATTTCAAAATTGATTGAATGAAAATACCGATAAAAAACGTGTTTAAATACATTTATTCTATCAGTGCTGAAACTCTTTTGTCTGGTATATCACGGAAATATATATGCGGTTTATGCAGCTATAATTTTGTGTTTATTTGTAGCCAGATGTATAGTTTTATCGTGTTTTTATAAAGGTTAAATTTGTTATCGATAGTGTTATCTTGGTTGATATTACCATTTTTAACCGAAGTGAAAGGTTTTCATTTAGTTCAAATATGCTCGTGTCATGAATAAGCTACCTTGTATTAGGTTTTTGTCAGGCTCATTCTGAGGATATATTACATAAATTTAAGATGATAATGAAAATTTCTTTCTGCATGTTCGAAGTGTTGGATCAATTGCCGATATCAGTATGTTACATGGTAAATCATTTGGTTGTTCTGACTTTCTTTAATGGATTATTTTTGAAAACCTACGCTGTGAACAATGTTCTGTACAAAGTGAATCGATACGTCGATAAATATTCTGTTTTTTCAATGACGAAACCGCTTTTTGTTTTCAAGGGACCGTAATCTTTTCGATTTATATCGACCCAAACTTGGTCAGTTCGAAATATAATAAATGTGACATTCTGCATGTTTTGGGGTATTTTATCAGATATAACACTAGTTGAACAATAAACATTTTGTTGGAGTAGATAACAGGTTCAGTCAGTGATTACACACTTACAACTCAATATATGACTTTAACAGGGAAGGACTCTTGTGTACTGTTGTTCAAAACTTTCTCCGGAAACAATGTTAAATAATCAGTAAATATTACGCTATTTTCATGTAATTTGCCTCGACCATTCATTTAAAACCGGTTGTTTGTCGCACAATTTAGCATACTTTATTTTCTAAAGTACATCTATGAAGGTACAACTACCGACTTGGTAACATTTATACAAAACCAGATATATGCTTTAAAACCAACAGAGATTATACAAATATTTTACACACTTACAACCCAATATTTGACGTTATCGAGACCAATTCCAATTTATTGTTGATGAACAACTTTTGCTAAGAACAGTGTTAAAAAATTTGTAATTAATTTTCGTTTATTCTAATTAAAAACCGATTACAGACTGAGCCGTGCAAATTGGGCTTTAAACATATATGATGGGGGCAAGCGAGAAGTTGACTTAATAACACACGAACTGTAATCTATGTATACACATTTATAAATCACCGTTATGGCTTTCTCAAAACTCTGGTCCGAATACA